TATATATATATATATATATATATATATATTAGAATTCAATAATTCAAAGAGTTTTTTTTGAAAATTACGTCACTAGGAACAACTTTTAGTCTTAGGATTCGTTTTTCAAACACGCTTTGATTTTTAGTTTACAACCAGCCAATCAAGAAATACCAGTTGGGCCCAATCAATGGTTCAGTTGTCAAATTTCAGTCTTTAGTAGGTTTCTCAGCATATTTTTTTATGTTTAGCTATTTATATTAGTAAAGTAAAGCTTTACTAATATGTGTGTTTTGCATCCTAGTTGAGTACTTCCTTTATCTAAAACGAAACATCGCAAACACTCGCGGCCCAAACAATTACGCAAGTTAGCTTAATTTCAAATGCGCTGTAGTGCTACCGGGGGGGGCAAAACAACACAGGAACCAAGGCGGGAGGAAACATCTTCCAGAGCCAAAAATCCAGCCTGAATATGTAGGATCCCTTCGCTGCCAGTTCTGTTATGTCACCCGTGGCTGTCTGCCCTGTGCAGGAATGCACACTCTCCTGGAGGGAGAGGAGGAGGGCCGGGCGAGAAACAGAGCACCCCCGAGTGGCTGCCTGAAACATGATGATGCCCACACAAGCAGCTCTGTGCCACATCAGGAGAACAGGCTTCACTTACAGCCTTTTAACCCCCCCAAACCTCCCCGCTGCAAAAAAAAAATTCTTTTTTTTTGTTGTTTTTTTTAGGAGCTTTAATGCGTTTTTCCTAACAGGAAGTTAACATCCTGCCTTGATGTCAAAGTTTGAATGAGTGTCTTAAGTCGGTGGCAGTGGGGTGTAGCGCAGCTGAAAATGCAGAGGTTATTTTTGGGAGTCGTGGTGAGACAGGGGATCAGAGGTCAGGTGGAGGTGGATGAGCTGAACTCACTGTTTAAACGGTTTACTCTCAGGTTAGTTAGGTTTTTTTTGTCTTTTTCAAAAATATATTCCCCCTCACCCCCTCCATATTCTGCATCTACTCTGTTTGAGTTTGCGACTGAATGCACCACTACAATGCAGGAGCAAAGCTAGCCATCAACACACCTCCATCTCTCATTTTACCTCTGCTGTGCTTCACCCAACCCCCACGCTGATCAGGACAACATGTACACTGGGGGATCTGGCAACATGAACAGCTGAATGGCATCTTACACTGACCAGCCTTCAGGTTATGAATGCAGTGTACACCCTCTGGTTCTCTTTATCATGGGTCGGTGGGTAAAGGTGGTCCTTAAAGTTCCCACTTAGTGTATTTATTTAAAAACAACCATAAAGTTTGTTTCTGAGAATAAAATGGCATGATCAGTATTTTCTATTTGTTTAAAGAGGCAGTATCATTTAAAATTGACTTCTTTTTTTTTTTTAGCTTTACATCATGTTATAATGTTATTCCCTCAAAACAAACCTGGAGTGTTGCTTTGATTCTTTCATGCATGTTTGAGAAATCCTTTAATCTTCATGGCAATCATTCAGCTGAGCAAGATGCCTTGGTGGATCTAGCTCCGCCTTCATGGACGAAGCTCCTCCTCCAAGCTGCAGTTCCAAGCTTCTGTTACGCCTATATTAACCCATTAACGCTTTTAACGGCTTACTAGAGGAGCCATGTTGTGATGACTTCCTGGAGGCGGAGTTTCAGAATGAGCAGGAGCTTCTTAAAGAGATAGAGACCCAGATTTCAAGGCATTACATTACAAAGTAAAATTTCTTTTAAGTCAAGTTTGGTATATACAATATACACATGGTTATTTGATAAAATGGCATTCTGTGCCTGGAAAACGCATAATATTTCCCCTTTGTGTGATTTTTTTTTTTCTTTTTAAACCATAATATTCTGTTTAAATTCTAGTGTTTTTGGGCACACTGTAGAAGTCGGTATTTTCCGGCTTAAAATCAAAATGAATAAATTCAGCATGTAAAAGCCTGGAGCCTTTAAAAACCAACTTGCACGTCAGAATATTTCTTCCATCTTTCCTGAAATCCATCTTTGTTATTTCTTTTTAGACAACCCGTACGCTCCCACACAGCCATTATTTTCATTATTTTTTTTCTCGGGCGCTCACTCCTCCACATTCAGGTCCTGGACTGCAGCAGTGCCACATGTAGAAGTCATTACTCACCCTGCGTAATTACTGCCACTGTTATATTAGCTTTGATTTCGCTCACGTTCTCCTTCTGTCTTGTTTACCTCTGCAGGTCTACACACAATGAGATGGAAAAGAACAGGTGAGTAATAAAGTCTTCATATCTTTGTGTTTGTGTGTGTCTCTGCATATCTTAGTTATTGGTGGAGCATCTTCACATGGTACCCAGCTCAGTTATGATTCCTGGAAAACATTTAATCCACAGCGTTTTTACTAAAATCCTTCGAGTGTGATTTAACGCATCACATCGACGGCCATCTTTAAAACTATTCAAAAACTAAAGTCATAAAATTACGAGAATAAAGTTATAACATTACAAAAACAATTTACGAAAATAAAAAAGTCATGACAAGAATAAACTTGTAAGAGAATTAAATCATACTATCATGAGAATAGAGTCATATTAGCAGAATAAACTCACAAGAATGGCTATGAAATTACCGGAATAGTCAAGATAATATGAGAATAAAGTTGTAATAATATGAGGACAGAGTCATAATATTTAAGGAATTAAGTTAGATTTAGAGAATGAAGTTGTAATATTACGACTTTATTCTCATCCCACTTTATTCTAGTAATTTTATTTCTTATATTTTCTTAGCTTGGCCCTCGTGCTGTCTTACAGTGACATTATAAAACACAATACTTTTGAAAGGCTCTGTAAAACTCATTCAAGTTTTAAACCAACACTTAAAATCCTCATGCAGATTTATTTAAACTCTTTAGTAAAACTAATTCATGCTTTTTTCCGTTGGTTCTCCCTCTGCTTACAGGATCTAGTAAACAGTTTACCGAGGAAAAACCCCCTCAAGTTTACGAGACTTTTGTAATCCAAGCCTCGGGCCTCAATAAAACACCAAATCAGGTGTTGTCCTGAGACAGAACAAGAGCTCTCAGTGTGCGCCCTCTGACTAAAAGAGCCCCATCTTAACCAGGGTTGGTTGTTACAGTGATGCCTTTGGCTGAGCGCTGCAGCAGGTTTCTGCTGACTGAGCCTTCATTTGTTCGCCGTGGCCTCCTGACACCCAAAAGATACATGAGGTGTCTTTGTTTCATCAGCTGACTCACCATCTCCTCTGGCTTAGGAGCTAATCTTGTTCAAACACCAAAAGTAATTCACAAAATCACAGTTTTATCAGCTCATTACTACATGTAGCATCTCTTCAGACTATTCAAAACTTTCACGAGAGTCAGATAACGATTTTTAGAACAGAAAAAGCTAATTAATTATCTGTTTCAGCTTCTCAGATGTGATTTTTTTTTTTCTTCCCTTCAGCGCAAACTTAAGTGAATCAACCGTTTACTCCTTTGGTTGCTTTAAATCTTTACAAACTTGGAGGAATTCAGACAGGGGCTGGGTAAACTAGTCTTAAGAATTTCCAAAAATATTCTAGTTTTAGCATTTTATTTTTTATCTACTCATGTCTAGATCACAATCCAATTCATGTTTTGTGAATTACCGCAGCAATTCGCAAAACATGCAACATACATTAATCTTTATAGGCAGCTGTCTCCTACAAACTATATTAAAGCAAAATTGGCAAAGAAACAACCCTCAACATGCAAGAGCAGACCTGCACAGTTTACCACATCGTAAATCTTCCACCAACATGACACAGAGGGATGTGCAAGACAGTTGGGGCTTTTTCATTTTGCTGTTTAGTAGTTTAGGGGAAAAGCAACATTATTTACATTTTCATTTAGTGTAAATAAATGTCTTATTTTTTTATTGGTCTTATTTTTTTATTTAGTTGAAGCCAATTCTGGAAATTAACACTTCTGACACCAAAAGTAAAGCAGACACATTTAACAATTCTTCATTGGTTATTTGAGACAATTATGTAATCCTCTGATACGCCACCTACTGGCAGAGATGATGACTCTGGTTTTCGGTCGTGAACTTGAGTTGGGTTTATTTTGCAAAGAAAAAAACTCACTTCAGACTTGACTTGGACTCAAGACCAGACGTAGAGCCAATTACATGTTTTCTTTTGAAAGAGTGCGCTTGATGTGATAGCCAACACAGATCGAATGTTATTTATGGCTCTTAATGTTGTGTTCACCTTTGTTTTCATTTCATAACCAGGGTCAAACAGATATCTCTCTAAAGAAAGTTACATTTTATGACTGCTGGTCATTTCAGGTAAAAAAAAAAAAAAAAAAGAAAAAACAAACGACATTGTTTCCCTACTTGACTCGCTGCATAGTGAATGTTTTTCTTAGAACATAAATGTGTATTTATACATGTAATGGTTTGCATTTAGCATTTAAAACCAGATCAATTATTTGCATGTTGAATTGTATTTAAAGATTCAAAGATAATTGTTAAATGGTTGTGAACGTGCAAACAGGGCATTGCAGAAGGCAGACTGGATGGCTTGCATTGGGTGAAGATGTTTATTTATATGTTAAAGGCTCGACTTGGACTTGGGAATCAGTCGTCTGTTACCAGACCGGCGGCTGTTGCCCTTGGCGTCGTGACAGACCAAATATCATTCACCTGATAAACTCCTGAAAGGCTGGCTTAAGACGAGTTCACTCAACTCTCACACTGAAGTTAGCATCTGACTCAAAGGTTCATTATTTTCAGCTTAAAAGTGTCACTTTTCCACCTGCGAAATGAGAAATTCAGAAAATGGAAAAAAAAAAAAAACATATTTTTTATTTTTTGGTTTTTTTACATGCCCAGCAATGTAGCACTCAGAATGAGTGCCAAGGTGATGCTCAACAGCAGGTTTACTTTCGCAAGTGGAGCGTTACAACTTTCACTCTGATGCTCCACTTGATGTATGTACAAAACTTTATTTGGGAATCTCTTTGGGTTTATTTCAAATGTAATGGAGATGGAAAAGAAAGCGAGAAAGAGGAAACAGTTCAAAGGGAAAGGAGGAAATGAGAACGGAGGAGAGAGAACAAGTCTGCTTCTACACCCGCAGAAAGAGAGAAAAGAAAGACAAAACATGGCAACAACCAACAAATCCTTATATATAGGCCAATACATCAATTAATCACATGATAAATTAGAGCAAGTTCAAACATTTCTATTTTATTGATTTATCATTTTTCTCTTTCAAACTTTGGATGACAAAAGTCTTGGGTCTGGTGATTTGGTCTCAACCAGCTCTTTTTTGTTTCCAGAGACTTCATAACTCATTTTATTTTATTTTGTTTATATATTTTGAATATTTAAAATGTCTTCCAATTCCAGTATTAAATGTTAATTAGAATTTGAAGTTTATTGATCTTTGACAGGGTGTGCTTGCTTTGTTGTGTCATTGCCATTATATTACTTGAAAATGTTCTCAAAATAACAATATTATCGTTTATCACAATAACCTCTGGGCAAATTTTGTTACCATGGCAGGCGTATTTATATAACAATGAGAGCATCACTAAAGGTTACATGGTACAAGTTAAGTTGAGATTTATTTAGTGTTTTACTGCAGTGGTGACCGCAGTAAAACACTGAACCGTCTTCAGAGAGGTTTCACTTCTGGCAGATTGGACCAAGAGTGGTGGGAGGTTGAAGTTACTGCTTTCACCTCCTGCTTGTTACGTCACAGGAATCAAAACTCTTGTTTCCTTCTTTTAATTTGCACAACTGATGCAGAAAACTAGCTTTTGCTTTTTCAGCTGATGTCTTGTTTGACATAAAGAAAACCTGTAGCCATTGCAGTTTCTTAATGAAAGCAGTCCTACGTGACAGCTTCAGTGACGGAAGACAGCTCTCAGGAAGGTTGTCGACATTTATATGAACAGAAATCTGAGAGGGATAGTTGATCCAAAGCAGCAGCTCAGCTGATCGGCTGGAGGATCCATGCTAATGTTTCCTCCCAGTGGGCTAAAGCTCCTCTGCTCTGTCTGTCTAGGTCAGTTTCGTCAAACGCAAATATCTCCCAACCGCTGATTTAAAAAAAACATAATAATCATCTCCCCGTGGAGAACTTTCTGAACCTTTTGCTGCCTCCAACATCCTGCAGAAATTCCAAGTCGGAAAGCCGTCGTATTGCGGGCAAATCGCCACCCACCAATTCCGAATCTTGCTCACAGACACTGTAGCGTGCCTGCGTATGTTTGTGTGTGTTTACTTCGGCCGTAACCCGACTCCAATCAGCAGCGCATTTTCTACTTGCACGCAAGTCTCTCCATGCCGGCTCTGAGGGGTCAGAGGGCGAATGTGAGGACAGCGAGGTGATTTACTGCTGTCGGGGGCCAGAGGGCTCCAGATGACCTACATGTGGTTCTGAGTGGAAAAGACAAACTATTTTCAGCTGCAGGGCGATGAAGGGGCCGGACTTTCAACTTTTAGTTTGGACCCGGCTCCGTCTTTAGGCTGAGAAGAACACCCTCCCCCGTTGACACACTAAACCTAAATAACCTGTCGTCGATAAGGCGCAGAGCGCAGCGGCCGTGTCACTTGGCTGTGACCTGACGAGTCTGTTACTCGGTAGCGTTGTTTAGCAAACATTAGCTTGCCCCTTTGAGCCCTTATTATGTTAGAACAACCTGGGCGGGGCCGTTGCCAGGTTATGTAATGGCACTTTGGACAACCTTTGGACGGAGTCAGCTGAGAAGCAGACGCTTGTTCTCAGCTGTTGACTGCAGCTCTACATGCGCGAGTTTGTGTGTGCGTGCAAAAGCTTCTCACACTGCACAAGGGGTTAAGAATATAATTAAAAGCTTCCTCTGCCCACATTCAAACTGGTTGTAGATCTGTCATTGTGTCCGATTTGAATAACTCTGACTCAGACGGCGGCGGCATGCCAGGCCTTCAGCCGCCCGTAGAGGACGAGGTGGGGGAAACGCAACATTTAAACTCTCTGCTGTCAGGATGAGTCTGACGTGTGTGTGTGGGTCTGAGTGCTTGTGTTCGCTCAGGCAAACACAAGCACTCAGACACGTACACACTCCCAGCCAGGCCAGAGGTGTGTGTTGTGTAACAGTGGGGATCAAGTGGTTTTAACTCCACGCACCAAACTTCAGCGGGCGTCCTGGCCTTGGAGATCTGAGAGCAGGAAATGCATCGGGGAAGAGAAATGTAAATGTGAAACGGGGAGCTTACTTTACTGATCTGTTCACATGTGGCCTCAGGGTCTCAGGGTTGATCTGTTTGCTTGGTCTTGTTTTGATGCTTCTCAGCATTTTCTGGTCCGAAAGTGAGTGGAGCAGAAGTGGTTATCTTTGTTTGTTTGCAGCTAAAGAGAGGAAAAGGAAGAAACCAGAAACCTTTGGAAGTGCAAAAAGATGTATGTAGTGCTGATGATACTTTTCTACATCATCAGTAAGGATGCCTTCAAATTAGGGCTGGAACTTTATTGTGTAATTAATAACTTTTTTCTTTTTGTATGTAAAAAAAAAAAAAAAAAAAAGCCCCCTCTGGACTTTTTGCATTCGGCAACAAAACCTCCTCTCTTACTCCACTGGGGTCTAACCTGGAGCGTTTCTTGGAGAAAAACTACAAAAAGTTCCTGCCGGAACCTTTTGATTTATGTGTTTCCAGTTTGCCCATAAACGTGAAGCACATGCAACATTTGCAAACAGCGATGGATGACAAACCCGATCCTACTGGCCCACCTGTGGTTTCATTTTTGCTTTAAAAGAAAAACGATCTGAAGGGACTCTGGAAAAGACTACTGTTTTGTTGAAGTTGTGCTAAAATGCTAAACATGTAGCTGCAGCACAGACTTCCCCAGTGCTAATGTTAGCATCTACAGTCCACATTTTTAAAGAAGTAGTCCATGAAGGATCTGGAGACCTGAAACAATTAAAAGCTGTATGGGTAGAATAACACTTTGCATCTAATTGGTGGTTAAATAATAAATATATTTGTTGTTGAGCTCATAAGTCTCATATGTATGGGGAAAGAAATTGTCTTTTCTGTCACATGCCTCCCAAACGACCTGTTGGGGATAGTGTCTAATGGTTGTTATGGAGACATGGCCACCCCAACATGCCAGATCTCCAACACTGAGTATTACATGTTTGTTTGTTTGTTTGTTTTTGGACCACACTCTCCTCTGTGTTTGGTTCTTGTACATCATTCTTACCAGAGGAAGCAGAAACTCACGGACCATAAATTAGGGCTTACTACGACAGTTATACTTTCAGTAATTAGGAAGTACTCCTCGTCTGCTGTCCATTGTTCTCTTAGATCAGGAAGTGCAGAAAGTGTTGCACGCGTGACAAAAAAAGGGACATCAAAATAGTTGGGATGAGTTTTTTTTTTTTTTTTCTAACTTTGTAAAATAGACAAAGGCTCGCTGAGAAACAACTGCTACTTATTGCACAGTGAGGATAATTAACTCGCTCTTGGAGCACGCCGCCCTGGATCATATAGTAGCTCATAAATGTTAAAACACCCATATATATAAAAAAGTAAATAAATGTGACGCTTTTGCTCTTCTCTTGTACAAAGCATTGATAAAAATATCACATCAACGTGTTTTGGAAGTGTAAGAACGCTGCTTTTCTTCACAGTGAATCTGATGAATGAACATCCTCCCACTGGTGGTTCCATATTTTTTGGGGCCTTTCAGAATGTGTGAACAATGCTCTGAACAATGACTGCAGTGTGTGTGTGTGTGTGTGTGTGTGTGTGTGTGTGTGGGCACGGTTACCACTGAATGTTCAAAACGATGTTCCCGAGCCGTGTGTCGTAGTAATACGCTGCTGGCCGGGAGGAAGCGGCTCCATATTTAGACGAAAATCATTCAGTTCAGCTCGTGGTGCCGAGCAACTTGAGCCACGATGCGCGCCTGTTGGCACCGTTTGCGGAGGAGGTGGATTTCTCATCCCATGTGTCCTTTCTGAAGAGCGTAGCCGGCCTCCCTTTGGAAAGTAACATGCAGCAGGCAGTATGGATCAGAACGCGCTAACGCGGCGCAATCCAAGAATATCTCAGCCCACACAAGGTTAATGGTGGATGCCGCTTGTTAAATGCGTACTTACCAAAACGCAGGGGCATTGTTTGCCTCTGTTTCTGTGAGGAGGAAAGAGTTTGGTTTGATTGCTTCAACCATCTTTTCTCCCCTTTCTTAACTTTACTGTCTTCTCTCTCCAGACGGGCACATCTACGGCTGTGCCTGGAGCGCTTGAAATCTCTCGTTCCTTTGGGACCAGATGCCAACAGGCACACCACCCTCAGCCTGCTGATGAAGGCCAAAGAACATATAAAGGTACTAATACAACTAAAACACATTTGTTTGTTGCTATGGTTTTTAGCTTTTCTTTTCTTTTCTTTTCTATCTCTCTTTCTGCAGGTGTAGAAGTAGACTTCCTAGGCTCTTGTCTTGTTCTCTATCCTTCTTTCTCTCATCTCCTTGGTTTCCTTTAAACCTTTCTTTTCCGTCTCCATGTCCATTACATTTGAAATGAACCCAAAGTGAACCCAATTTCTATGAAGTATTTCTACTTGTATATGAAGTGGAGCATCATAGCAAAGGCTGCAGTGCTCTTCCACTGGAAGTGAATCTGTTGGACCTCACCTTGTCACTTGGACAACAATTCTGAGAAAAGAACACACATTTAATCTGTGGATCATTTGTTAGTCAATCATGTTCACGTTTCTTCACAAGCTCTGTCTTCAATTGTTGGGATTTTTTGTGATGCACTGATCCAAAGTCTTTCCAACAGCCTGGAGCATCTAGAGACTCAGATTTTAGCCCCTTCTTGTCTACAAAGCAGCTCAGACTCAGTCAGACGAGATGGAGAGCGTCTATGAACCTCCATTTTAAGTCTTGCCTCTCTAGACCCTTGAGTCAGATTACACTAGGCTGTTCCAACTTTTGGATGTCAGTCGACCCTGACCAGCTTTCCTTTCCCACCTGAAGAGAAACATCCATAACTAGGGGAGGTTCAGGGTGAGGTGCAGAGTTAGTTTTCTACTGCACACTCGTTGCTAAGCTTGGCCGTGTCCAGGCAGGGCTTTATGATGCAGTTTGTCCTCTAATGTTCTCCTGCAAACCTCTGAGGCCTTCACAGAACAGCTGAGCATCTAAAGGCCATTGAGTCTAAAATTTGTTGTTGCAGTGTGAGCAAAACTGAAAAAGTTCAAAGGTTCTGAATACTGTAAAAGGTACAAACTGTCCGGCTGTATCAGCAGCTCCTAAAGGGCTCCGTTTCCTGTCTGTCCCGCTGTTCAGAGGCTAGAGGAGAGCGACAGGAGAGCTCAGCACACCTTGGAGCAGCTACAGCGGGAGCGGAGACACCTGAGGAGGCGCCTGGAGCAGCTGGGAGTGGAGCGGACCCGCATGGACAGCACCGGCTCCACCCGCTCCTCGGACAAGTCCGACTCTGACCAGGGTGAGCGCAAACAACTCAGGCTCAAAGTCTGACACATGTCAGGGTTTCCCCCAAAAAACCTGCTAAGCTCAATGGTAGGGGGCGCTAGAGCAGTCCATTAGCAGCCCTCATAGTTTCTGTGTTGAAAATATTAAAGGTTACAAAAATATGGAGGTCCTTGAGCAGATTTCATAATTTGGAAATAATAGCGAGTGACGCAGGTGAAGGGATGGTGCAGTTGATGCATCAACTACTGTATAAACCGAGCTTAATTCATCTTTACTGTTATCGATGTACACACTGGGGGAAACTCTGCTTATATCCATCCACCAAAATTCATATAACACCCTGAGTAACCTCATGATGGGGAACTAGAGGTGTTCCAGCTGTTATTCAATCAAAAATAACAGCTTTTTAACTGGAATCAAAGCTAATCAGGAAAACTTGGCATTTTATAAAGATCAGCACATGGTTAAACTTTGCCATCCAGAGATGCAGCCAAGGTACATTTTGACATCCTTGTATTTCATAGAAGCAGCACATTTCTCCTTGCGTGACTGCTAAAACTTCATGTTCCGATCCAGACCTGTGAGCATTGATGGACTAACCACAGCGAGTGAGTCACTGCCTGAGTCAGCTGTGCTCCAGGTTTGAAGGGAATAAGGTTTTATTAAGGCTGATTAGATAAAGTCCAGCTTGAATCTTGTTGCTGCAGCTGAAAGAACTGGAGTTTAGCGGCTTCGTCAACAAACTGGTGTGTTTAACTGCTGATTAACCAGCTAGTTGGTGTGTAATCTTACGTCAACCAAACTGGGACCCACAGCTCGAATAAATAGTCCTTTCAGGAACTACACATTCAAAAAATGATAACGATCCCTGAATTTGATAGTTAAATTTTAGTTTTCCCTTCTAATGCACTGTAGTTTTAGTTCTGTGGCAAAAGACAGTCAGTAGTTTATTGTTGGATCCTGTACATCGGAGGCTGTGGAGACTGGAGTTTTGTGGCTGATTTCTAATCATCAGGTTTTGTAAATGTTTGACCTTGGAAATGCAGTTTCTAAGCTTCCGCCTCAGAGCAGCTCTGCCCTGCTGGCTCCTGTAGACTAGCCAGCAGTAATTAGCAAACACCTGGTAGAACTGTGTATCAGCTGAGCTCATTATATAAGCCTCTTCCCAGTACAACATTGGTAAAAACATCACTAAAGGATTATAATGACTTTCTAAAGGTGGAATTTCAGAAAGAGCTGGAGTTTTTAAAGAGACAGAGTCTCAATTTCAAGACGTTAAATTACAAAATGAAGCTATATTTGGTGTACAGTAGTTTTATAACAACTGAAAGTAACATTTACTTGACGGTATTATAAAATTATTTTATGTGGCTGTAAAATGCATAATACTGCCCCTTGATGACAGAGTTCACATTTAAACCTTTATTTAGCACATATATTAGCGATTAGCTAGGTTAGCATTATTAATGCTGTTATCTCAGACTCTGATAATGTCAACTCCTGATTTTCCGACGATACCAGAGTGTTTTTCTTGACTGCATGTAACCGCGTCGGTCTTCCCCGTGTGTTCCACAGAGGACCTGGACGTGGACGTGGAGGGGACGGACTACCTGCTGGGTGACCTGGAGTGGAGCACCAGCAGCGTGAGTGACTCAGGGGACGAGCGAGGCAGCCTGCGGAGCAGCTGCAGCGACGAGGGCTACTCCAGCGCCAGCCTGCAGCGCCTGCAGGACACTCAGGAGACGGCCAAGCAGCTGGGCTGCGGCCTATAAACGTCCTGGACCACCGAGCCGACACCCACCTCCACCCAAAATCTCCATCTCACCACTTCTACCTGCTCAGACCCTGCCCTCTTCCCCCTCCCCCCTCCCCCCCTTTGTCCCTCCCAGCCGTCCTCTTCTCCTCTGCAGCTGACTTCCACTCAGACTGCAGCAGCTCAAAGACGCCCACGCACATTCAGCTCTTCTTCTTCTTCATCATCAGCGGTCAGTCTTAAGGGCGTTGCCCGCTCCGCTCCTCTCCGCTCTGTGCCAATCAAACGAGTGGGATTTGAAAGACACTCCGCCCCCTTTTCGTCTCTCCGTCCTCCAGAAACACAACTTTCAGCCAGAGAATGTTACCACACAATGTCCCACTGCCTCTTTTTCTACGCCTCAAGAGCCATGGGAAGCATTTCTAAGAGATTATTCTCTTGTATCACACACACACACACACACACACACACACACACACACACACACATATATATATATATATATATATATATATATATATATATATATATATATATATA